GGATGGCTTGGTTTTTGGTTTGGGCGAACACCAAGTGTTTTTAATGACTTAAACATGTTTGAAAAACTTTTTTTATGATTTAATAAATGTAATGAAGGATTTTAGCCTAAAGAGCCAACGTTTAAAGATTGGGTCGGTCTTGATCACAATGAAGACCGACTCAACGACACTAAGACTAAGGTCTTCGTTCTTGGTCTTCTTTTAGCTCTTGTTCTTGTCTTCCTTCTTCGCCTTGTATATTCAAAGTTTGACTTGATCACGGCGGTTTGGCATTATCAAAACCTGTCACAAAAACAAACACGGCTTTAGTACGAAAACGTGACATGCCCGTGTTTCAACAATTTCCCCCTTTTTGATAATGGCAAACGAGATGAGGTTATGCATATGAGGAGGACTTAGAGAAAAAAATGTTCCCCCTTAATAGATGCCATTGTATTTTTAAAAAACAATTCCCCCTCAATTTATGCATAACCTTGATATCTTCCCTCTTTTGACATTAACAAAAAGAATTAAAAGTGAACTTTAGAGTATAAAAGTAAGCTTTTATTCATTAAAAAGGAGAAAGTGCGGAATACAACGGAATTGAAATAGGTAAAGGAAGTGCAATTAAAGTAGGTAAAGAGGAGAAGAAAGTGTTTAAGCATCGGCGTCCTCGTCCTCGGCGTCTTCGTCATCCTCGTCGTCCTCGACGTCCATGGGATCGCCGTCGACCGCGTCCTCAAAGTCGGCCTCGTCGGGGGAGGAGGACGGAGCATATGAGTTGTCGTCCTCATCCTCGCCTTCAAAGTTTTGGCCGAGAATGGTGCTGTCAAATGGTGGCGGAACGTAGTTGATGCCGCGGAAGTACGCCGTCATGTCGTGGTGTTGGCGTTGCAATGTCCAGTCCATTCGCTCGATTGACTGCCCCATGCCATCCACTGTGATGGTTAGCCGATTCAGGGTATCGGCTATGGACTGTAAGGACGCCTTGGCGGGAGCGGGGGCAGGGGCAGGGGCACGAGCACGACTCGGTCCAGTGCCGGTTCCGTCACCGGACTTCTTCCGGAAGGTGCTGTCTTGGATGATCCAAATCTTTGTCATCTTCGTGTCTGGGCCGGCGATGTGGATTTCGGCCGCGACAATGAGATCCATGACGAGGAAGGCGTAGGGCAAGCTCCTTTCGGTGGCGATTGAGGCGTAATCCGCCATGTGGATCATGACGTATTTTGCCCAATTGATCGAGGCGCCATGGGTGATTGCATGAACGGCCTTGAGATCCTCGTTGAAGAGACACGTGTGGCTGCCGTCCCGGGGGCGAAGAATCCGGGTGAGGATGTAGAGTAGAAGGCGCTTCTCCGGCGGGGCTGAGTGAATGGTTGGTGCGCTGCTGTGACGGACGAGGTTGGTGATTCCAAGCTCTCGGATGACCACTGCCTCGTTGTTGAGGATCCAATCATCGCCACCATAAGTCGCGATGTCGTCACCGTGAGTGGGCAAACCTACGATCCGGGCAAAGGTAGCCAAATCAAACTCGAAGTCCACGAGATTGATGCTGCTGCGAATAGTGTCCCCGTCCCGGCAGAGATTGGAGTAGAAAGCCCGAACGTAGGCGGGATTGAAGGAGGTGCGACTGCGGGAGACGAAGGGCCACAGACCCGACTCCTTGAGTTGATTGTCATGGTCGTAGTAACCCTTTTGTTGAGGGTATAGCTCGGGTAGCACTCTTGGCAGAGAGATGGGGCGCTTGGCGAAGTGG